TCATTCCTACTTCTGCGGACAGCTATGCGCCACATCCACCAAATGCTTCATTTCACGTTTAGCTGTCACGATGAAGCCGCTGCTGAAGAGAATCTTCCATGAACACAGATGTACCTAATAAACTATGTTCAAACTATATTTAAACTATATTATTCAGTCTAAATTATTCCATACTATACTAAACTATAAACTATTCAAACTATAAACAATACAAACTATATTTTCACCCTTTAACGTGCTATTTTACTTTTGAATGCATTAACTATTTAACAAGCCTAACCATTATCGATTTATGTTAATCGTAAGGAATGATAGAAGCCTAAAAACAATTAACTGCCAAGAAAAAAGTACAATGCATGTCAAGAGCCTCCTGCCCAGAAACAGAACTAGAGGGTATGACGACGAGAAAGATTTTTAAGACCAACTCCCAAGACTAGACCATCTAATGGATCAAGAAAGCGCATGGTATAATGGAATAAATCTGAATAAGTTGCGCAGCTTTTTCCTGGTCATTCCTTGCTTTAAACATTAATGTTTTATTGTAAACAACAGTCCAATTTCGCTACGATAAGCAAAAGTCACCTGATTGCTGAAGTACATTAGCAACGTGTTATTCAAGCAGATGGATGCTCTCTGTCGTGTCGTGAACTTCTGCGTCAACTGGTGCGTCTGACAGAGCTTCAGCTTTTTACGCGAGTCAAACAAGTTCTGGTCTCTCCGAATGCACACAAGATTGTTTGAAGCGATGGCGACGAGCGTTGGATCATTCGGCCTAAAACAATTCAACGTAGAATCACAGGAGTCACAGACGAAACAGCTATGGAATGAGGGTTAAGGGAATGAACAAATTACTTTTGGTCGAGAATAAGGGCATATATCTTCGACGCTTCTTCAACTTGTTTCAGCATGTGCAAACAATATGCTTTTTGCAACCTAAAAACATTATGTAATACAAATTATTTAAATGTATCAAAAGCTTTACTTTATAGTTGTGAGTTCATCATCAGTGTGATCTTCCTGGTTGGAAATTGATGAATTGTACTTAACTAAAAATATATGTGAAATGGCCACAACCAACGAACAGTTTTTATGCATAAATAGGAATTAACAAACGTATTCCAGGATGATTACAATATAACGCAGCGGTAAATACACTTTTCAGATAGTAAGGGATAAAATACACACTCAGGTTCAAAGCACTATTTCGGTCATTAAGAGGTTAACATGCATAATTTGACTAAATAGATTTTACACGTTCTGATATACGTCATTATTGTACATCACGGCTAAACGATATTACGGACTCATTAGCGAGACTTCAATTTCGCATCGCTTTCATAGGATGAACCAATAACTCGTTCTCACCTACCATGTTTCAGAAGGCACTACTCTATATACTTTCATAGCAATATCATAAATATGGCTTCAAACTGTTGAAATGAATTAAGTACAGTTTAAGCTATGGTTTGTTCCTTAACATCAAAGAACAAGAAACGAGAGTGCTATGCGCACTTGTTTTCCTTAAGTTAAAAGTAAAAACAAAAAACAGAACCTTACCCTCAGCTTCACCTAAAACGTTCAAAGCTTCTGCGTACTCTTTGGCCGCAATCAGGCCACAGGCGTTGTTATAAAGCTGTTCAAAACTGTCTGCAGCGACGCTCTGCACCTAAGGACAACTCGGTGACCGGCGCAACAATCATAAAAAATGAACATCAGCATCGAAAATCACCAATCGTAATGAAGACAGCGAAAAATTCAACAAGATGTCTTTGCATCGAGGCGAAAAATGTTTTGTAGTTAACTGTTCAATTTTGAGTAGATGTTTGGGGGTAAATACCAACTTTAACTTTGGGTCGTTGAGCGATCCTTCACTCTGTCCTCCGTGTCAAAAGAAAGTCAGCACTACAAATGAAATGAGGTTTGACGTTACAAACAACAATTTCTACCTTCACTGACAATGGAGCGGTTCGTTTGGAATTAACAGGGATGCCGAGCAGTATTTGGCTAAGCTCTATGATGCAACTTTCACGTAGTGGAAAAGTCTTCTCTTGGCAAAGTACCTCTCAAATATAATTAAGTATGGAGCCATAGTGACTGGTACCTTTCCCGTGAAACGTTTTACAGCAAATGAAAAGCTTCTTATAAAACGCTATCTACAAAACATAAAAACTTCTGCAGTTACCAATTACTTCGAATCTGAGCTACCCATCATGTTTGTTAGAGATATTCGAGAAGACAAAAAACGATCAAAAGGTCTAAAGACACAAATGTGCTAGAAGGTACTCTGCTTGAATGGAAATACATCGCTTCTACAGAAACTCTATCGTTATGACGGCCTTCAAAGTAGCATAAACAGTAGTTTGTAGTAAAAAATGTCAAATTTAATTTAAAGCCATTTATTGCTTAAGTTTCTAAAAATAGCGCTGAAAGCTGCTAGAATAATGTGCTAAAGGCGAAACGTGCCGTCACCGGGAAAAATTGCCGCTAAAACCGGAGAATACACCTAAGCAAAACGTCATCAAAATTTCCATATAAAAACTTATTTGTATTATTATGTTCGTACCTCCGGCTGATGTTCATTACTGTATCTGAGCTGGGCGCAAACAGCAAGCAAATTCGCTTCTCTTTCATTATCAAACTCGTCTGCACTGTTCTTCACGAGATCTTTATAAAGTCGATAGCATTCGTCGTATTCTTCTAATCGATAATGCTGAAAACAACGGAACTTAAAAATTTAATTAAAAATATTCAGCTATTTAACTATTAATCTGTAGAAGATTTATTAATTTGATGTTTTAAATAATGATCTCAGATTTACAAGGCAAATTAGTACTTCTTAGTGTAACATTTTCATCTTTCTGACACCTCCCGTATCGGTGCAAAGTAAGAGATGAATTTTTTTCTTCTTTACAATGTATGTTTTCGTCGCTTAAATCCGGTATCGAAAAACTCAAAAAGTCTATCCCAGAACATCGGGGTTATATTTTCAATTCGAATAATGTAAAGTGAGTTATTTACAATGATAGCGCAGCACTGTAGGACAGCTGGAAGCTGCATTTGGTTGTGCCGCAACAATGAACTGCTCCCTTATTATTAGTAGCGTATATTGATAATTTAAGCATGTCACGACTCCAACCGCCTGCCATATGTGCAACACATACACCGCTTCACTGTGTTGGGCCGAACAAGAGCATTTTCGAGCACCAAAACAATTTTCCACCATCACTTTGGCTGTTCTGTCCCACTGGACGACTAAAAGCTAGGGAACGGTGCATTATCGCGGTATAACTAATTGCATTGACTTCTGTCCATCTCAAGCCATTGCAAAGTAACTAACTATACAGCATTCGCCGTGCAAACCTGGTATTAGCATTTAAAAGATGAAACAGAATCGGAAAGCTGTCAGTCTTTGCAGCTACCCCATGCCATCAGGGTTATATACCATTTTCTAGTTATTGCTTTGAATGCACATTTAAGGAAGAATTTTATTTTAAAGTGCTAACATATAAAATTCCATTTTCAGCTCGTGAATATGCTGCAGAATTACTACATCGTACAGAATGAGTTTAAATGAAACGGAATATGAGGGACAAGTTTAAACATTACGCGAAGACCATAACATTATTCATTACAAAAAATTACTAAGTAAATTTACTTATATATTTAAATCAGGATAAGCCAAATCTTAAAAGCCAATGTATCTGAATTGCTCCCTCACTCTTAGCCATTTCAACTGCCTACCAGCTGTGCCATGAGCTCTTTGCATCGGAAATCCAACTCGCCACCGGCATCTCGCAGGGTTTTCAGAGCTTCTGCAGGGCGATTCATTCGGTATTCACAGTATGCTTTTTCGAAAATGAATTCACCCGCATCTCGAGACCTAAAAATTGGAATTCTACATTTTAAAACTATTTTAAAATTCGGCCAAATCGTCGCTACTTAGTCTATTTTACAACTGAACTAAATAATGATTGTTCGTCAGTCTTAGTCATTCAGCCGCAGAAAGATGCCGTCTCTCTCATCCGGTAATATTACATGAACCGAATGACTGATGCTGCTGAATCACGTTTTTAAAGGTCGTTTCCTTCTCAAGAATTCCTACAGTTTTGTGCCCATGGAAGTTCTTCCTCCGTCCAGACAATACTTTTTTTGCTTTCCAAAGATTAGTCCATTACCTTAAACAATGGTTTTTACCTGTTCCACTGAAACAGGTTACAATGAAACAGACCAGGAGACAGCAATTTTGAGAAGCTCCCATTTTCATTACTTTCAGGCTAACGTCCATTGCAGAAAATTTCGGCACTTATGATGAACCTTTACAGCTACCACAGCATCTTCACTGTATCATATAATCCAATACTTGATTCATTCTTCTTTTTGCCAGCGCAATCTAGATCTGACCAGACTGTTTTTTCATTTACAAAAGTACATACTATAATGGACTATTAATCTCGACCGGACTAGCAGCAAGGTTCACATTTTCCAAAAGCTATTATGCGAAAGCTTAACAATATCACTGGTAGAAGCAATCAACCCTGATATGCCGACAATTATTCCTGGAAAAGACCTGTGAGAAAGGGATTGAAAAGTCGAGAAGTGCATTTGTTAGCTGAATAGAGATCCCGGAAGCAACTGGCTAGAACAGCGGACCACCGAGAAACGGAAAACGAATTCATAGTGAGAATGTTATGCTGTTGAGTGACTAACAGCATCTTTCAGCAAGGTTACGAATATCCAGAATAGCTCGGAAAGTCTATTACCTTGATTATAATTCTGACCTCACGATATGTACAGATATTTACATATTTCAACTAACAGAAAAATCTTAAGGTCGAATATTTTAAACTATCCATGGGCAATAATCTTAATATCAATATTATTCGCATGGTATCCTGGATGGTGGATGATAAAATGCCAAATCGTCAAGGAAAATTTTGTGTCCTGTCTAAAGCAGAGTTGATAGTTGAAATGGCAGATAGCTGAAACATCATTTAAATATTATTAGTATATGTTGAAAATGAACTTCCCAAGATAAAATATGCTACAAATTATCTAAATCTCAATAACCTCATTCTGTTGAAACTGCCAACCTTACAAGGTCAAAGGACTTGCTCAACTCATTGATTCCAAAAACAATGCTAGCTGGAGCAACAAAACTTGCGTCTAGAAGGGTCCTCCATGGTGAACTGGCTAGATGGTAGAGATTAAACTAACAGCAGTAAATCCTTGATTATACAAAGTTTTGGAATGTATAAATGTTTATGCCACACATTTCTACACCGAGCTAACAGCGGACGATTTTATGCAATAGCAGAGCAGTTCAGTCTTAACTACAGCAGAGTCTCCCTTTGTTATTCTTACATGACTGTCAGCGAAACAGCGTTGCAACAATACCGGTGAATCCACTATCGGTTTAGGGCAACATCTGAGAATACTGCCAAGGTCGAATAGGAGATCGGGAGGTCGCAGCGAACCATCTAGGTTAACAAAGCATCGTCCCTACAAACCTGAATACTCGAGAAGCTGCTTACTCTGTTATTTAGCATAGTGCTATTGCAAACCAACGACTAGAAAAGAACAAATACTTTGGCTTTGATACAAGTGATGTAATCTTCTTAATGAACTGCAAGGCTTCTTCAAACTTCGACAGATGAATTAGCGACAACACTTTGTAACGTAACACCAGCGAGTCATTTTGAGCAACTTTCAGAACTAAAAGAAAACGAGCAGTAGTAAATGCAATATTCTTAAAGCATGTGCAATTAGTACTAATACAGTATCCAAGGATGGCGCATTTAATTCGTCCGAGCCCATTCCTGTCCACCTATGTGCCATGAAAAGCAACTATTTTCGATATATTCCAGCAATTCCAAATTTCTTGGCTTCTAATTCCTCAAAAGCTTATCAGCAAAGTGTCATTAAATTCTCCCGCGTTGCCTTCGATATGGAAGGCGGTTACACAGTGGAAACAGTTTAGTTCTGAATTCCGGAGGCGCTAGGTTCGAATCCAAAGAAAGCAAGATGTTTGACTTAACTGCGAATTCCTTTAGCAAGGAATGTGCTTCATGCTGTTTCAGTGCAACCAGCTAAGAAACGAACAGAAAGTAGAATTGCATAAAACTGGAACAGCATAGTATTCTCGCGTTGTCACACCAGAATGGACGAGTTACACAGTCATGCTGTCCCATGCCAATGCCTTTTGTATAGGCATTTCGTCATGACGCATCAAATTATTAACCGAGACAATCAGCTCATGAAATAACATGGAAAAGAAAGATTATGGACTTACAGCTGCTGTCATCATATGCAAGAAAAACAGTGATTATTCTTCAAACGTCCGTAGAAACTATATGGAGATGATACCCCTCAGTCTATCCTTTAAACTTTGAACTCAATATTAGTAAGCTCTATGCAAAGTAAGAAGATATATGCTTACTTCGATTACACGTCTTCAGCACTCGCTCATAATCGCCTGTTCTTTCAGCTTTATTCAGCTCATGAAAAGCCTGCCGCAGATTCAGCTCGCCGCTCTGATGGGCAGACATTAGATTCTATAATAGCATTCGTCACTCGTTTACTGAGTATCACGAATGAAAATCAATTCAATTACACAAGTCAAAATTTCATCTCATTTCTGCAGCGCAAAAGTCATGCATTAAATTTATTTTGGTACAATTCAGCCATGAACCAATGCGATATATATTAATACAAACAGTTTCGCAACCTTTCAAATCTATAAGGGATCACACTTTCCTTACGATTCTAGTTTTCCAGCCGGTAACAAAAATGAAGAAACACAACAGAAGTGTAATCTTAATAGCGACTAATTAAGTATTTCCTTTTAACTGCTCCATAAAACGATAGCCTAAGCGTCATATGAATAACAGATAAATTTTGAGACATAAAGTCCAATTTGCTAGTAAGAAAGCGGAAACACGCGTCTAAAGTACTGTAGATATGCAAGGTTAGGGCAGTCTCGCCAGTAAGTTAGCTTTTACTCCTCAAGTCCTAGCTTTCGGCAACAATGTGCTCAATAGTATGCTACACTAACGCAAAGGAAAAGATTCAGTTTGTAATTCGTTTACGTGTATAACAAACTCCGTAGTTGCTGGTTTCAGCAGGACTAATAATCCAGTAGGTAGAGTAGTCGTTCCTCGGTTCCTTGACTATACTGATGATCCTTTTCTTGTATTTCGCACTTTGGACTTCAAAATATGGCGGTTCAGTTCAAAGTGCTTGCTTTACATTTATACACTTGCTTCGTTCGAATCTATCCTTAATTTATAACATTTCAGTTCCTTTACAGTGTTTGTTTTGGCATGAGATGTATAATATCCTATCCTCTATTCATCAACAAATGATTGGCAGATTTTATTATTCCTGGAAGCTCCCGAATATTCAACATTCCTGTCACAAAACTTTCCCTCACAGACTTTCAGGAAGGTGCCAAAAATGGGTGGTACCTTGCGCACTCTAGACATTAAAGAGTATATGATTGTCGTATTGGTTGACAAACCACTCTTGAGAAGAATAGCGTTTGTTGCCTTCTGTTGCCTTACAGAAATTCTTCCAGCGGTCGCTTCGTAGCTACCGAAATTAATTAGGCT